GTTTTAAACTCACTGCCTCCGAAGGTGGTGGTTCTTTATGTGCCGTCAAGTTCACTACGAGTCATAGTGGCCTATGCACAATAGCTCTGAACCCTGCTCTATCCTGAAGCAATCTCACTGTCTCTGACACATCTACCCCTATTACCTCAGTTATTGTGTAAATCCATCTCATCCAGGGTCTTCCTCTCCTGTGCTGTCCGTTGACCCTTCCAAGCATGCTATATTTCTCCAAACACTGGTCCCTCCTGGCTACATGCCCAAATTATGTGAAATGGAGCCTCAGAATCCTTGCCTCCAAGGTGCAGCTTGGTTTCACCCTCTCTAGCACAGACCTGTCCATTTTCTTGGCAGTCCATATGTTCAGTACTCTTCTCCAGCCCCACGACTCAAAGGCATCAGTTCTGTCATCCTTGGTCATTGTCCTGCTCACTGATGCAGAGATCCTCCGAAGGTTAGAATCAGAATTTGTTAGTTGCTTATAACACTCAAGACAGACATTCTTTATCAGTTAAACCCAACTGCTGTTTGTTCTGGGCTCTGGTGGGAGTTCCTAGCGAGCTGCACTGCTGATCCAGAGGCTGTGCTTCTCAGGCGGTTCGAGCCCAGCAGCCATTCCTCGGGACAAAGCCGGACAGGCTCCTTCTGCTGTGATTTACAGCCTTGGATCTCGATGGACGGTCACTGTGCGTGAGAACCAACTGGACAGCGGTGAGAGTGGGTTGAGGAGGTTTGGTTTTAGTAAGATTTCAGCAGATATTTTTGGTTTAAGGTTTATAGATGACTTTGAGACAATAGTTTCAGGTGTTCATCCAACTTCCATGCCTTTAGTAAGTCTGGAGTCCATGAGAAGTCAAGATTTTGTTCTACATGCTTCCCCTTTTGATCAGGATTCTTTCACTGAATTTTTTATGAAAATGCCCAGTCATGGTAGCTGGACACCATCTAGTTCCTCTGATCTCCTGGCAAAAGAGGTTAGTGAAGTTGTTCATTAGCTGCACATTCCACATCCTCCTCCTAGTCCTCACTCAACTTATTTTTTCCAGACAACATATTGTTGTGCCTTGGGTGGCTGCTTATAAAATTTGAAGACCACACACACTACACCACAGACTGACTAGAAGGTTGAACAGACCAGCTCCTCTCCTTAATGTTGATCATCTCAGGTCCTCCAACTAGATCTTGTCATTCCCTTCAAAGTCATAGCCCTCCTTTTTTTCTACCCCACTAAAAAGAAGCTCTGTAGCACAATGGTTAAGTACTTGACTGCCAGCTGAATGGTTGGTGGTTCAACACCACCAGCAGCTCCATGGAAGAAACAACCTGGCAATCAGCTCCTGTAGAGATTATAGCAAGGGAGCCCTGTTGATCAGTTATGTGCTCTAGGGGAACTCTAGTGACCTGGTGAGTAAGACCCTGCACTGGCAGCCTAAAGGTGGGAGGTTCAAATTAATCAGCTTCTCTGTAGGAGGAAGAAGGACAGTCTGCTCCTGTGCCATTTACAGTTTCTGAAAACTAGCTGTGGAGAGTCAGCTATGAGTTGGTTCCAGCTCGGAAGCTGAGAGTATTTTTCGTTTGTTCTGTGCTGTAAGGTCACATTGAATCCAAATTAGCTCCATGGCCCACAGCAGCTCTAAGGACAGCAGTTCCCCGGGTGGTGCAAATGGTTTGCACTTGATTGGTAACCTAAAGGTGGGTCAGACCTGCTCGGTGGAACCATGGAAGAAAGTCGTGACAGTGGATTCCATAAAGATTACAGCCAGGGGAGGTATGTGGGTGGATCTGCTCTCACACACTGTGTGGCCTTGAATCAGAATCAACACCACAGTAAAGGAACAGTGACCATGGATGGTCCTTGTCAAGTTCCTACCTGCTCACACAGTCTCTCCTTTCCTTCACACTGAAGAGAACACCGGGGAGGGGGTGCCCCATTTTTCTGGACTAATATAGACTCAGAGTTCTGATATGGTCTCAACTACTGCATTCTCTTGCTTTACGGACGATGTGGCAGCTTGAACTTCCTACTCACTTCTAGCTGTTTTCTAAAATCTTTAAAGCTTGCCTACTGGGGGAACTGTCTTATCCCCTTTAATTAGATTTTTTTTTTCATTTGAGGTAGTTGTATATACACACAATATTGTAGAAAATAATACAGAGAGATCCCATGTACCCGTCACTAGTTTCCTTCAGTGATGACATCTTGTGAGACTATGGTATAATAGTGTCAAATGAGGATATTCACACAGTCAAGATACAGCACATTTTCACCACCAGCAGGAGTCTTCGATTTACCCTTTCTAATCAATCCTGCATTTCCTTCCCACTCCATCCCTCTCCTCAGCCTTGTTGTTGTTGTGTACCGTAGAGTGGAGACAAACTCATAGCTGGCCCTCCTGCAGGTTTTCAGAAGCAGTTAATCGGATAGGAGAAAATTACCCATCCTTCTCCCACAGAGCAGCTGATGGATTCGAACTGCGTGCCTTCGGGATTGCAGCGCAGCTTCTTGACACTGGACCACCAGAGCTTCCTCTTCAACCTTGGCAAGCACTAGTTTGTTCTCCATTTCTGTGATTTTGTAATTTCTAGAATATTCCGTAAATGGAATCATACAGTCCAGAGCCCCTGGGGATTGGCTTTTTTTCCACACAGCATAATCGCCTAGAGGCTCATCCAGGCTGTCCTTTGGGTCATTGTTGCTGTGTAGTATGAGAGAGCTTCTTTTAAATGGACTGTTCTGTTCTAATGTGGTCCCAGAAGCTCCCAAAGCATTTGAGTCTCGAGAGAAGTAAGAATCAGACTCACTCATCTAGCACCTATTTCTTCTAGTCAGCAAGAGATTCAGCAGACGTTCTGCTGTTTGGCCTCGCGGATGAGCTATTGTGTGCAGGCATCCCACTGTTTATGAGATGCTCTTGAACGTGAACGCCCCAAAGTAGGGCACTGGAATCGTTGCCAGTTTATGCAGGGAAGCTGGGAAAACCTAATTTCTAAGCCATAGTTACACCAATTAAATACTAATCTTTAGTGATAGGGCCCACGCATCAGTAATTTTTAAAACTTACTCAGTGATCGAAGTTGAAACATGCGGTTTTAGTTGAAAAACAGCAATTTGAAACAAATTCATCACGTATGAAATAGATAGATACCACCCTTCTACTCATGGCAGACATTACTAAGCAATCACAGAACTCTCCCTGGTGAGAATCAGGCTTTTAAAATAACAGTGCTGCAGACAGCCACTTCAGCCTTGGCCCACTCATTTACATGACTTTTAATCTTAGAGGACGAGCCTTAAACTGGCCTGGTGCCTTAGATGAATGACCCACCAAATAATGCTAGAAGGTGCCAGCACCCTTGACCAGTAGCCGTGGGGCAGCAACAGCACAGCAGGGAAGGATTATCTGCTTTAATTCCTTAGGGAAAGCCAAGATGAATAAGTCCAAGTCCCCCTGCAGCAGCTCACAGCCCAGCTCAGAGAGAGGCATGCACATGAGACTGGCAATGTCATAGGTGAGCACAGACTGGTTACTTTTGCCCAGCCCAGAAATAATGACCAGTCTACGTGCCATTGTTACTGCTTCTGAAGCCTCACACATGCTTCTGCAGTGCTTACAGCACACCCCTCCCCCCACCAGAAGGCTCCCCAAGGCTCAGGGAAGTTGCATGATTGCACAAGGATCCTGTGTGCAGAGCTAAGTCTTGATTTCAAGTCCAGTGCCCTCTGTCCAGTGCTGCAGAGCAGTTAGGCAACTGACTGGTGGTCACATCTTCCCATCCTGAGATCTGCCTTTCCTCTCTCTCCCAGGGCAAGGTATACCTGGGTGTCTTTTGGCCAGAGAGGAATGTAAACTACAGCTGTCAGGATGGATTTGTGGGCAAAGACCCCTCCTGTTCCTCTCTCTCATTTCCCATTTCCACTTCTCATGCCATCCCGACAGATGCGGTGCTGGTGGGCTGAACTGCTGAGTAGAAAACGAGAAACTCTGGTTCTGCTATCACAAAGAGTCTGCTCCTGCCTGCTATAAGCCAGAGACTTCTTCCACAGATCCTGTTTCCTCTGCCTAATGTCTGAGGAAACGCCTGAAAGTGGAACTAAAGAAAACAGGGAAGAAGAGAAACTCTCCTCCCTGTCTTGTCCCTTATCTGGGTATTTGCCAGGAGAACTGAGTCTCCTCAGGGAGGTCAGTAAATGTGGTAGAGCAGGAGCTGGGTTGTCTTAGGTGGGGCTGTTCTAGTGAAGATTTGCCTGTTTGCTGCAGTTGCCTTAGAGATAAAGGTGTGGAGCAAGATGGGGAAACTATTCCACACACTGGAGGCCCACCCATGGTCATCCACAGCTTCCATGGTCCTCCTGAGTATGTTTCATTATGATGCACATTCTGGTGGGCAGCCAGTAAAACTAACAAGTCTTCAAACTCATAAATGAGCACAGAGATTTTTTAGAAATTAACATGAACAAAATGGAAATAATAGGACATATAAAGGCTAAGGAAAGAATTCCAGAGTCCAGAAGATTCCTAGCCTTTCTTAATCTGTTTCTCCTAAAGTGAAAATGACAAATACATCACACACACACATCCCAATGCTTCTCATATCCTGCACACATGGCAGACATTACTAATCAACTACCACGTTCTTTCCCACCAAATCTAAGCTTGATCTCAGAATTCTTTTAATCATAGTTTTCCAGGCAACCAACTGTAATCTCTTGGCTTTGGCACATGACATGAAAACTGGTTGCCATCCTCAGCCTAACAGCATTCTGTAGTTCAGTTTGGAGTCCCTGGAAGATGCAGATGGCTAACATGCTCTGCTAGTCACTGAAAGGTTGCAGGTTTGAGTCCACCCAGGCCTTGGAAGAAAGGCCTGGCGATCTATGTTAGGGAGGGTTCGTGAAAAGGAGGAAAAAAGGCTCCAGATGCAGAGACCCTGATTCTCTAATTTGTCACCTTTTCTCATGCCTGTGCTGGTGGAGGTTCATAACAAAACAGCTTAGAAAGACTTGACTGTCCAAGTAAGAATTAAGCACTAATTATGGACAGAGTGGTGGATTGGAACACAACTTGTAAAACCACAGCTTTCCTTTTGAAAAGATGATAAGTAAACATGGCAACAAATTCATATAATGAAAATGAGAGCATATGAGTGAAAGGTGAGTCCCCCCTCTCGCCCGTATTTCCCCAGCCTTCTGCTGCCCCTCCTGCCAGCTCCTCATTTCTCCCCCATGAGTGTATCTCCATGCCCTTTCCATTTGCTCGTAAGTATACACCTTTATGACTTTGTCGTTCATATCTTGAATAGGATTTCATATCAACGTATATAGAGCTGTCCTGTATTTTTAATCATTACAGAACATTGTACTAAAAAAAATACTATCATTTTTCAAATAACTTTATCAGGTAGTAAGGTCACTTCCAGCCTTCTGAACTTACAAAACATTTGCAATTATTTGTATCCTTATTCTTGGACAAGTATACCTGCAAGATTAATTCCCAGAAGTGAGGCTACTGGCTCAAAAAATATGCATGCCTAGAATTATCATGGTTTTGCCAAATATTTCTTCAAAATGGACATTTGTATGGATACTTTTTGAAAATCTTATATATTAGGATAATCCAGGGTGTGCAATGGTTAACAGTCAGCCTCCACATTTTAGTGTCATTTGTTCAGTGTAATTTAGTGTAATGTTTGGGTTTTGCTCAGATCAGATCTCACGCAGGCCTGAGTGGCTCTCCAGCAGTAAATCAGCGATCCAGGCTGCTACTTCTTTATACTTGGCTTGTAGAAGCACACAGCCACCACTGTTTCCACATTAGAAGAGACAATTGTATACATACATAAAATTGGATGCAACAATTTTTTTAATCTTTTTTAAAATTTATTATTAATTTCAGTGAAAATTTACAGAGACTTTGGATTTCCATTCACCCCCGAGGTCAGTCCTGTTTTACAACAGTAGCACCATGCACTATTTGTCTTTTTGTGGCTGAGATACTTCACTCAGAATAATGTCCTCCAGGGTCACCCATTTTGAATAATATTGCATGAGTTCCTTGTTTTCCAATGCAGCATAGTATTCCATTGGTGACTATACCACAGCTTCTCTCTCCATTTGTTTGTTGATGGGCACTTAGGTTGTTTCCAACTCCTTGCTATTGTGAACAGAGCCGCGCTAAACATGGGATTGTGCATATATCTGCTTGGATGTCAGTATGGTCTCTTTGGGGTATATTCCCAGTAGTGGAATTCCTGGGTCAAATGGTATCTCTATTTGCAACTTTTTGAGAAAGCGCCATACCGCCTTCCACAGTGGTTGCACCATTTTACACTTCCACCAACAGTGACTAAGGGTTCCAGTTTCTCCACAACCTCGCCAGCATTTGTTGCTTGCTGTTCTGTTAAATTTTGCTATTTTGACTGGGGTGAGATGATATCTCATAGTTGTTTTGACTTCCATCTCATAGAGCTAGGGATTTTGAACATTTCTTCATGTGCTTGTTAGCCATCTGAATGTCTTCTTTGGTGAAGTGTCTGTTCATATCCTGTGCCCATTTTTCGATTGGATTATTTACCTTTATCTTTTTGTGATTGGATGCAACAACTTAAAGACCAGCCTTCAAAGTGCCTTACACCATTTCTACCCACATCCCACCCCAATATGACAAACTGATATTGGTTGCCATGATGCTGAAAGCTGTGTTACCGGTATCTTAAATAACCAACAGGGTCACCCATAGTGGTTAGATGTCAATAGCACTTCCAGTAAGAATGGAAGGAAAGCCTTGCCAACCTATTGAAAACTTGCCAATGAAAAGCCTTTGGATCACAGCAGAATATTGTCCAATGCAGTGCTGGAAGATGTCCTAGGCTGAAGGCATCTAGAATACAGTGTTCACGTCCCTGGCCTACTCACCCGCAGGGCATGACTGTGGTGCAGATGGGGCAGTGTTGTGTTCTCTTGTGTATGGGGTCACCATGGGTTGGAGCCAACTGAATAGCAATTCACAACCCACAACCCAGCCCTGTGGCCTCACCTTTACTGCAAAAGCGGCTGGGGATTGGAGGAGTTGTTGAACACCAACTCTGCCACAGTCCTTTTGCCCAGAATTTCCCTCACACAATATATTCTAGAACATTCTGCTCTTTGCCAATCTAATATGTAAAGGGAAAAAATGGCAATGCATGTGGGCCAATTTTTGCATATGTATTTTCTTTAGACAGTTGCCCTTGACCTTTCTTCTACTGTAATGCCTGTAGCAGATTATGTTCACACTCAAGACACACTCTTATGGGCTTGCCAAAATTTTCCCGAAACCCAAAAAACATTTTGTGGGGAAACCCTAAGACTTAACAAAAAAAAAAAAAGAAATTGGCTGTTATTCATCAAAACATATAAAGGCATGTGAGTAATAATATAAAATTAGCCATTTAAAGATCTTTGCCAGCTGGGGTGGGTGATGGATTGGCAGTGGGTCTGTATAATTTCCTAAGCTTGCTGCAGCCCCACCTCCTCCCGTTCAGGAAAGCACGAGGCCAGCCAGGGAGACAGGAGAACCTTACATCCACTGACTGCTGTTCTTTCTAAAAAGCATTTCTTCCCTCAAGCTTGGACGCGTTAACTGTTCTTAGTAACCTCACAATTAACTATGACCTGTGATGTTTTGTTCCATGAGGGGCCATATGGGCTAAGTTAAAGGCTGGAATGCATGAAGTGTACGTGCCTGAATGGAGGGGTTTTGTAAGAAAGAGGAGAATTAGAATTTGGGCTAGAGCTGTGGTGTGATCTCATATAGTGGAACGCCGAATTTAAGAGATGGTGAGGAATTTTTGTTTGGTCACTGAGGGGATCCTGGAATGAAACTAGGTTTTATCTCACCTCCAGTTCTAATGGATTGACACTGCATTGAGAAGGTGCAGTGAGGCTGCATCCAGTCTCAGCTGTAAAAAGATTGGCAGTTAATTAGTGATGTCTGCTGCCGCCTGAGAGAGGATGGTGTGTGCTTTGTGTTTGCCACTCCTGTGCTGAAGGCTTTTGGATGGGATGGATTATGAGAGCCAGGGTGTTAGGTTAAACAGGGTCATTGCTAACCTAGGAGATAAAGAGATGACCTAGTCTGAGTTTTCACCATCCAGCTGTGTGGCCTTGGTCAAGTCCTTTCCTGGGCCTCCATCCCTAGAAATAAAGTCAGAAGGCAGTTTCCAGACTTTTACCAGCCCTGACATTTTGCACTTTTATCACAAAGGCCACACTTTCTCATGACTGATGAGATATGATAAGATTTTCTTGAATCTTTCAGAAATGCATGCCTGTGCTGGCTTACATGCCAGAGTCAAAAGCCAATTGTCCTTGAGCTGTCCAGTCCATGGCGACTCCTTACATGATAGGAGTATAATAGGACTCTACAACGTTTCCAGTAGCCAATTTTTCTGAAGGTGATAGCCAGACATTTCTTGCAAGGTGCCTAGGGGTAGATTTGAACCTCTAGATTCTCAGCAGCCAAATGTTAGCACATGAACTATTTACACCATGCAGGGATTTCACGTATGTCAAAGGAGATGACAACATGGCTTAGAGAGCTAAGCTACTCTGTGGGGCTACAAACCTGGCCCTTCTGATTACATGACTTTATCCTGGGTGCAAATCCCCTAGCATTCACCTTGTTACCTCCTGACAGCTCTTGGCCCCGCTGGATCAGGCCTCACCCCCAGAGCCCACAGTGCTGGACCTTCACCTGGTCAGATTCCATTGTTCCCATGCCATGGCTCCTGCAGTTCCTGTGGTCGTACTTCTCTGAGCCTGTTCAGCCCTACCTGATCATGCAGGCCTGTTGGACTTTGTGAACCACTCCAACCTTCAGGGTAGGAGGGAGAGAGGATCCTTGGGAGTTCCAGCTGTGTTGTTTTGGGGTATTTCTCTCTGGCTGCCCTACTGTTTCAGTGCCCAGCGTGGCTGAAGTCCTTGGAAAGTCAGCCAGTTTATACCTAAGTATGGCCGGAAGACCTGAAGGCACTGTCCAGGCTAAATGCCATCTGTCAGTTTGCTTCTGCCTCAGGCTGATTCCAGCTGGTGGTCAGATCAGGTTACTGTGTCCCACATCTCAGTATTTTAGAGGCTTTAGAAACGGCCCTTGTGAGTTGGAATCAATCTGAAAGTGGTGGTGGTGGTGATATTTCCCTTGTTGAGACCCTCCCATTCCAACAATGCTCATCGCCGGTGTACACGGAGTCAGCTGCATTCGTGAAATCAGGGCTCAGCTTCTCTCTCGCCACCATGTACCGGATCTTTGGCTTGAGCGAGGCCTTTCCCAGGCCACCTCACTGAATTCCTCCCTCATCACGGATACGGTCGACCCTGTGAACCTCCAGATGTTGTAGACAAGGAAGCTGCCCTTGGAGAGGTTAAATTCCTTGTCCAAGGCCACAGGGCTTCAAAGATAATACACAGAAGGAAGGAAGCCAGTATCCCAGTGGCTCGAGAGAGAGTCACCCTTAAGGCCCTCAACTTCTTCCTGCGTGTGCATGTGTACACATATTTGTGTGCATGTGCTGCGTATTTCGTCTTTTTTTTTTTTTAATGGACTCTTAGTATAGATACTGGCATGTCCTGCCTGCTTGGCAAAGCATCATCACTTGAGTATCCTTCTTTGAAGTAAATGGACAAATACCCTTTTTTCCAGTGAGGTATAGTCAGCAAAATAGAGGACGACCGTCAGTTATTGACACAGTGGCTGCAGCAGCGGGCTCAGATATGGCAATGTTTGTGAGGATAGCACAGGACGGAGCAGTGTTTTGCTCTGCTGTGAATCAGGTCTCAGTGAGTCAGAACCATGAGTCAGCAACACTTAAGGACAAAATCATGAAGCAACTTCTGTGTGCTTAGCCCTCTACCAGCTCAGGAAGAGAGAGCATCAACCTGCAGAAAACAGCTGCTAATTATTCAAAACAGTGTGGAAGTCCAATCATCGGTTAACAAGTCTTTCTTGAGCTCTGTCATGTGCCGGTCGCTGTGCCAGG